TACAGCAAATCTTAAGAATAATTAAGAGTGCCAATAATCAGGTCGTTTTTGTTTTATTTGAATTTTAGAATCATTTTTATGTTCAGATTTTCTTCGCTACATTATTTTTATACAATGCTTCTGTATGTCTTCTCAAGCAAAACCATGGGTGAGCTTTGGTTGTCGTTCGCGCAATAACACGAACGAGAAACCAATGGAGAGCAATTGTGACGAAAGCGTCAACGAAGAGGTCACTGATGGGGAGGTGGAGTAAAATGATTTGTCGGATGGTGATATCACTAATTCAGATAAGTGAATTCTCTCCCGATGATGGTAATTGGTAAAGTCCGCCGTTAACTAGAGGTGTCAAAATGGGTCTTAAACCCATATATGACCCATTTATTTTTGAAGAGTCAACCTTAAATGGGTTTTAAATTTTAAAGCTTAAAGATAAATGGAATTAAATGGGTTGAGTTTGGGCATGTCCAACCCACCCACTGATCCATCACACACTCTCTTCTTCTTTATAAAGATGTTTAAAAAAAATCGAAATTTAATTATTTTTATTTTTTCTCCTTTTCTTTTATTTTTCTTTCTCTTCTTTCTTTTCTTTTTTTTTTTTTATTCCAGTAGGTGGTCGGCCACGGCGACCGCCAACAGGGCGGGACGACCTCGCCGGAGGCTGCGAAGCTCGAGCTCGCCGGCCTCACGGAGGCTCCGGCCTCGCCGACTGTGGCGAGTGGAGCCTCGCCGATCTGGCGAGACTCGAGCTCGCCGGCCTCGGGCGAGCTCTACCTGCCGGATCTGGCGAGGTGGAGCCTCGGCCGAGGCCCGAGGTAGAGCTCGCCGAGGCCAGCGAGCTCGAGTCTCGCCGCATCGGCGAGGCCGGAGCCTCGCCAGATCGGCGAGAACGAGCCGCCGGCCTCCGACGAGCTCGTCCTTGCGGATCGACGAACGAAGCCGCGGCCTCCGGCGAGCTCGTCCTCGCAGATCGACGAACGAGCTTCGCCGGCCTCCGGCGAGCTCGTCCTTGCACTGTGGTCGGTCGTCGGCGATCGGCCAAAAATAAAGGAAAAAGAAAAAATAAAAATAAAATAAAAAATAATTAAAATTCGATTTAAAAAATAAAAAATATTAATTTTTTATTTTCTTGGATAATGACTTTATGAAAAATATTTTCTAGAAATGTCGCATTTTTCGTAAAACAAACAGAACCTCAATTTTAAAAAAATTATAAAAATTTTTCACTAGCTTTGTATTGCATAAAATGTTTTAGCGAGTATAATTTAAAAAAAAAATTATAAGAAACAAGTATTCCTAGATTAGGTTAAATATAAAAGTGTTTTAGCAATATGGCTACCGTTAACGAATGAGGTCAAGTTTTTTCGGTCATTGTTATGGCACCTGAAGTCAATGAACACACATAGCTCATGATCCTTTCGTTCCAATTTTTGAAATTCGACGTCTTGTAAGTGAGTTTTTAGTGAATTCTTGTCGCGTGTCTTCTCTTTGAATTTGAGTTTATCTAATCAAGCATATTCCATGAATTTGTGATTTTATCGAATCAAGCCTGTTCCATGAATATTTGTATTTCCATTGTTGGAACACGTCAATTTTTATTTAGAAATACACTGGGTAAGAGGTTCTTGGATTGGATTTTCATGTTATTCGAGGAACCATGAACTATGGCATCATACATAGTAGATTTTCCTCTGTATTAAAATGATATAGTGATGCTAAATCTACTAGTGGATATGTGTTCACCCATGGTGGAGGTGCTGTAACTTAGAAATCAGCTAAACAAAATTGTGGACGAATTGACAATCCTGCTAAATCAAAAATTAATTTGGTTGGAAGCAGATGATTTCGATGCAATAATTGTTGCGATCATTTCTCAAGCCAATATTGTGGCCAATGTGAAAGAATGGATGGTAGACTCGGGTGCTACCATACATGTTTATTATCCTACACTCTAGTAAGGAAGGAGAAGAGATTATTTATCTTGATGATTCGAGAGATACTCAAGTTCTTTGGAAAGAGAAAAATCTTCTCAAACTCACACCTAAAAGTGAGGCCGAGTAATTGAATTTTTTTTTAAAATTAATACCTTTTGGTAGCGAATGATAACCATTCTATTTCAGAATGAGTTCCTGAAATAGAAATAGATTTTTCTATTTCTGGTTCTAGGATGAGTTTCTGAGAAAAGAAACCCGTTTGATAACGACTAAAAATTTCTATTTCTGGAACAGAAACCCGTTTGATAACAGCACAAAATTTCTATTTCCTGAAACAAAAACCCTTTTGATAAACAACACAAAATTCTATTTCCAGGAACAAAACTCCATTTTTTTAAAAATGGAATAAAAATAATTAGAAAATCCAAAAAATTCCTAAAAATCTCAAAAAAATTCAGAAAATCCAAAAAAAATTGAAAAATTCTAGAAAAATTCATCACAATTTCCAAAAAATAAAAAAAATTCAGATTTCGGGAAAATAGGAAATTTGTTGAATTTTTTTTAAAAAAAATCAAAAAATCAAAAATTTCAAAACTTCATAGAATGGCTTAAAATACATGTGGCCACCCACTTTTAGTGAAATTTAAATTTTTTTAGGTGCCCAAAAAAAATAAAAAAATCAAAAATTTCAAAACTTCACAAAATAATTTAGAATACATGTGGCCACCCACTTTGAGTGAAATTTAAATTTTTTAAGGTGTCCAAAAAAATCAAAAAATCAAAAATTTCAAAACTTCACAGAATATCTTAGAATACCTGTGGCCACCCACTTTGAGTGAAATTTTAATTTTTTGAGGTGACAAAAAAAGCAAAAAATCAAAAATTTCAAAACTTCACAGAATGACTTAGAATATCTGTAGCCACCCACTTTGAGTGAAATTTAAATTTTTTTAGTTGCCGAAAAAAAAATAAAAACATGAAAAAATAAAAAATTTTAAAACTTCACAGAATAACTTAGAATGCCTCTAGCCACCCACTTTGACTGAAATTTAATTTTTTTTAGGTGCCCAAATGGTATTTTTGATTTTTTAATTTTTTTTCGGCACCTAAAGAAAATTAAATTTCACTCAAAGTGGATGGCCACATGTATTCTAAGCCATTCTGTGAAGTTTTGAAATTTTTGATTTTTGATTTTTTTTTTTTTTTTCGGCACCTAAAAAAAATAAAATTTCATTCAAAGTTGGTGCCACATGGTATTCTAAGCCATTCTGTGAAGTTTTGAAATTTTTGATTTTTTGCTTATTTTTATTTTTTTCGGCACCTAAAAAAAAAAAATTTAGCTCAAAGTGGGTGGCCATAGGTATTCTAAGTAATTCTGTGAAGTTTTGCAATTTTTTATTTTTTTCAGCACCTAAAAAAATTTAAATTTTGCTCAAAGTGGATGGCCGCAGGTATTCTAAGCCATTCTGTGAAGTTTTGAAATTTTTTATTTTTTGCTATTTTTTAATTTTTTTCGACATCTAAAAAAAATTAAATTTCGCTCAAATTGGGTGGCCACAGGTATTCTAAGACACTCTGTGAAGTTTTTAAATTTTAGATTTTTTTTTTATTTTTTATTTTTTTTGCATCTAAAAAAAATTAAATTTCGCTTAAAGTGGGTGGCCATAGGTATTCTAAGCCATTTTGTAAAATTTTGAAATTTTTTATTATTTTATTATTTTTATTTTTTTCGGCACCTAAAAAAAATTTAAATTTCGCTCAAAGTGGGTAGCCACATATTTTAAACCATTCTGTGAAGTTTTGAAGTTTTTGATTTTTTACTTTTTTTTCCCACCTCAAAGATCGTGACTTCCAGATGAACATGTGTTTTGAAGAAAGAGTTCTCTCATAAATGATTCTCATTTTTTGTCTAGAAATAGAAAACCTACTTTTTTTTGGTTTTGATTTCTGGTTCAGAATCGGTATTGGAACAAAAAGTTGTTCCAGAAATAGAAAAATGGAATTGCGTTACCAAACGAGTTTCTGATTCAAAGCTATTTCTGGGAACAGAAAATCAGTTCTGAACAGAACCAGAATGGTTATCATGCGCTACCTTTGTGTCTAGGCATTGTGATCCGTTGTAAAGAATGAAACTTTCAATGGTAAAAAGAGACATATCTGATTGAGATGTGACGTGGTAAAGCAACTGCTTAAAGATAGAACTATATTCATTGATTATATGAAGTCAGAAGTGAATTCAGCCGATCCTCTTACTATATAGAGGGGGATGGAACGTAAGCCTGTTGAAGAAATTAACAGTGATAGTAATCTAACCTATGTGATTAGCGATACCATGAATTAGGTTTATATGAGTAATAACACAAGTCATTTGTTGATCTAATGATACACTATTAAAAATTATTGTCCCTCTTAAGGTGAGAATATTGCAAAGTTGTGATGAGAGAGAGGTTGATTAAGCTCTTAATGAATTTGGATAAGTACATTGGAAGTTCTAAAACTTGTTACAAAAGTGCAATTAAGTCCTAAAACTTTCAAAAAGTGCAATTAAATCCTAAAACTTGTCACGAAAGTGCAATTGAGTTCTAAAACTTAATAAAAAAGAAATCAAGTCCTAAAACTTGTCAAATTGATCCAATCAAGTCCTTTCATTGATAATACTTTTTGAAAGTTTTAGGACTTGATAGCACTTTCGTGACAAGTTTTAGGACTTAATTGTATATTTTGAAAGTTTTAGGACATGATTGCACTTTCATGACAAGTTTTAGGACTTGATTGCACTTTTTGAAAGTTTTAGGCCTCAATTGCACTTTCGTGACAAGTTTTAAGACTTCCAGTGCACTTATCCATAATGAATTTCATAGCCATTATTGGTAGTATATTCCATAGCTATCGTTGATTAAGCTCTTAAAGAGAGGATTTTTTGTGTGATTCTTCAAATCACAAAAAAAAAAAAAAACATACCAAAAAACATCTGATTTCTTTCCATTTATTTGCTGGGTTTTACTTTTAACTATGAAGTTGGTTGTTGTTCCTGTTCCCTTTATTTATCCTGTGCGGAGGAGCAAAGAGGCTATTGTCTCCTGGGAGTTCTTATTTTTTCCATCTTTACCAACAGTTTTCTACTGTAGCTTCTTCTTCTTCTTCGTTATTGTTGTGGAGAGCGACAGAGAGAGACTAATGGAGTGGTACAAGAGCAAAGAGGTGGTGGAAGAAGTGGGAGTGATTGGGGGTTTGATCGTGATTCAATTTTTGTATGCGAGCAACTCAGTGATGCTGAGCTACCTCATGTCCCTTGGCCTCAACCCTCTCACTTTTGTCTACTTCTCTTCCTTTGCCACCTTCCTTGTTCTCTCCCCCGTTGCCTTTTCGTTTGAAAGGTATCATCTTGCTCTCTGTGCGCATTTGCGCTTGTGAGAATGATGCTTGATCTCCTGTTGTTCATGTCGCAGGAGCATGTGGCCCAAGAAGCTCAGCCTGAGGTTGATGGTTCAACTTGTTCTCATCTCCTTTTCAGGGTATTTTGGCAACTTTGCGATTGCATGTCAACTTGAAGTTCATATTTCACCTACATGATCTTTTTTTTTTTTTTGGTTAAAAAATTAATGAATCTTTTAATTTTTCTTCTTTCTATCTTTCTGTTTCTGGGTCAGGGTGACTCTGTTCCAAACTCTGTTCGTGAAGGGGGTTAAATTGACTTCACCAGCCATCGCAACCGCCATGCTGAACCTTGCTCCTGGGCTTATCTTCGTCATCGCATGGATTACTCGGTACTACCTTGTACCTGGGGTTTCTTTTGCAATTTTCTCTTACGCTTCAATTGCGCTGATTCCAGTATTAGTTTTTCGGCTACTCGTTTAGTTGCTTTAACTGGAGCTGCTGATACCACTTTATCACAATTCACTGTATGTTCTACGAAAATTGTTCTCACTCGGGTTCTTGTCAAAACATAGATTTAATCCATCTTTGAGCAAAATAATTCCACAGAAAGTAGTTCTAAGACAGTATTAAATCTTGTGGATTAAGCGTGCACACGATCGCTTAGTGGATATTGAAAGTTGGGCCGACTATGTGAAGTAATATTGCAGCTTTCGGTACCGTTACCATGTTCTGTGTTTATTCAATTGGAAATGCTCGTGCTTATGCAGGTTGGAGAAAGTTAAGTTAAGTTGCTTGTACAGCAAAGTCAAAATATTAGGCACGGTGTTGTGTGTTTCGGGGGCCGTCACAATGAGCCTATGTAGTGCCGCTGAAGAGGCTTTCCACTCATCTCTCGCGAGAGATACGACTTTCGACCAACAAAAGATCATCGGTTGCTTCTATCTTATTGCAGCGGTCCTTGCCCTATCAAGCAATTCCATCCTGCAGGTATATTCTGCTGAAGTGCAGTTGATTACTTCGACGGACATTTGTTTCGATCCTCTGACAATTAAAAGGATTGCGAATTGGCCCACTCATCTTTTTCTCCTTATTTGCTTTCCGCGGCTTCACAGGCAGTCGCTTTGGCCGAATTTCCAGCACCAATCTCAATGTGCGCTATCATGTCCTTGATTGGTGCAAGTATGACTGCAGCTGTACAGTTATTTGAAGACCACAAATTGGACAATGGCTGGCCGTTTTTGAGCTTCGGCAAGTTGGTCGCCTTTTCTTTTCTGGTGAGATGAAACTTTGGTCTTCTCTCACTGAATACTTCTCGGAAACATATGCAAACATTACGCATTGCCCGATTCTGTTTCTGCGCTTTCTTTTGTCGTTGGGCTTCACGAAATTCTCAAATGCACAGGGAGGTGGCATCGGCGGATCGTGCATAGGCTTCACATGTTGGGCCATAAAAAAGAGAGGGGCAGTCCTTCCTTCTATGTTTAACCCCATCGCAACCATCTGCTCGGTTATATACTCAGCCATAAGATTGGGAGACACGATCAACATGCCAAGGTGAGATCTATAGCACTGAAATAAGTAGCCCCCCATAGAATTCATCTGAAACGTATTAAAATTGCATGTTGGTTCGAATTGAGCTGATGCAAGCCGCTAATGCAGTCTCGCCGGCATGGTCCTCATGTTCACCGGCCTGTATTCCGTGCTTTGGGCAAAAGTGAAAGAGGGTTATCAGCCAAATGAAGAAGATTGCTTCGAGAGTGGGTTGCATGCAGAGAAGCCTCTCTTGAGTTGAGTAATACAGATGCGGATTTTCGCGAAAGCATCTTTTTTTCTCCATCATTTTGGTTGAAGAAAGAAAGAGCAGCTTCTTGCATGTGACAGAACCCATCTGTGCATGTCAATGTATCTACCTCATGTTGTAGACATTGGTGGTTCGGTACCAGCAATTGCTCTACTGTAACCTCCTTCATGAATCTTTAACAGAGAGTTGCTTAAGAATCTGTTCTTTTGTGAGGGACTGATTCATAAGGGTCGTTGCTTGGATTCATCTCGGACATGATCGATTTGCGAATCTGGGGTGGGACGCCGATAAGCTAAGCCGGTTGGTCTGGCCACGGCGTTATCATGCGCGGCATTGGGCCAGAGGATATAAGACGTTCCTAGAGAAATTCCGGGACAAGATGCTCGAGAAGGGAAACTTTTGTTCAGGCACGCACTTCTTGGAAAAAGTAAAAAGTGAAGATAAATATTCGCTTGCTATGCATGACTAGATGTACACGATAAGTTGGCCCAACTCAATCCTCTCTTAGGATTGGCTCCCAACAAGTTCTGCTATGCTGTAACACCAAACAGTAGATACGAACCGAACTATCTCACGATGTTCCGACGTACCAATAAACGAACTCATCTAAGCCCCATCCTTATCGAATGAGTCGAATTGTCATATTTATGATCGAGTTTGGGTCGATCCACGTCGATATGGAATTTGATTGGACACTTTTGAATCGGAAATCGTACCAAATTACAAGACGAAGCTATATTTCCTAAATGAATTAGATCAACCAACCCTTGTTGGCATTTGAAATAATGTAGCCGGTTGCAACATATGCAGAATTCGTCTATCACCTGTAAAGCTCAAGACATCGATCTTTCTTTTAAAAGAAATAACTCCCACGCCACTTTTTAATGATGGGCCTTTGACTGCAAACGCAGTTTTTTTCTTTTCTTTTTTTTTTGGCAATTCCATCTATTTCTTGCACAACTTATGATGGGAAACAGGAGAGAAATTTAATCCAATTTGAATATGGTCCGTACTCAGGAGATGCAACATACAAAAACTGATCAGAACTTTGTCGCGTGAAGGGTGAAGAAGCAGCATATCTGCCGAAAGCACTGCACCAGCCTGCCAAAAAGCAGGGAAAATTTTCAACCCCAATCATATTGCCTCAAGTGACTTCAAATTCTGCTGCCATTAATTTCCTGGGTATTGCTAACAATGCCCTAGGGAAAAAATTACACAAATAATTCATAAAATTTAATTTGATATGTAATGCCGTCCCTATATTTTTAATTTATTCAATATGACCCTTGAATTATTGGTAAATGTTTGTTGTAATCCTTTCGTTTGCTCAAACAACAAATCGGGCGTCAGTTGAAGAGGTGATTTATTAAATGTTGGGTTGAATTTAAAAAAATGACAAGGCAACATATCCATCTTTTTATCCATCTATTTTAGAAAAAGGAAAAAAAAAACGCAAACTATTATATCTTGATTTGAGACGAATATTTTATTTGAATAATCCACATGCAGCTTTTTTATCTATTGTCTACCGTTTAAATTTAACGGATTGGAAGCCACATTGAACATTGAATTAACATAATGATTTTATACTAAATATTTTCATTTAGTTTAGGACCAGATCGAATATTTACCAACAGTTTAGGGATCGCATTGAACATATTAAAAGTCCAGGGACGGCACTGCACATTGGACCAAAATTCACATATTATTTGTGTCATTTTCCCTATTACGACGATTAGTTGGATTGAATAAGCTTTAAAACTGTATTTTGATGGCACACTTGACATTTCACTGTGTAAATGCAATGCAATTGGGGAGAAACTCGTGTACCTTTTCTATTTCGGCTGTGTGACAAAAATCACCATATAAAACACTAATTGTTTAACAGAAACCAAAGCATCGCCAAGCCCGTGTATCTTTTCAACAACTTGCAGCAGAACATGTGCAGGCAAGTAACGGGAGCTTCGAAACCTGAAATTCCAAACCTGTACCCCGGAAAATTCATGGGTTCGAGTTCAAATACGAAGTCTTCGAGTGACCACCGTCGCCATTGGACTTCTCGCGCGGAGCTGACTTACATGAGCGCCATGTAGACAATGACAATTCGGGTTCGAGAGGAGTCAATGTTTGTTCTGCTGAAGGTTCTGATCATGCTTCTTTGCACTAAACGATTCAGGACAAGTCACTCTCTTCTTTTGACTTTACCTCAAAAGATAAAAAGTTTAAGGCATCTCCCCAATCTGGCTAAGACCTTGGGATTTACCTGTATGCTAATTTTGCCTAGACATTGGACTGTAGTGCAGCATCATCGGCCAGTTTGGAACAGCAGGGAGTGGCCAATAGTTTGATAAGTGTATAGTTAAGATCCACGGGAAAAGTACTAAAAAAGTCCTAAAATTATTGTGGTGGTATCAATTCAGTCATAAACCTTTCAATTGTACCAATTTAGTCTTAAATATTTGCACGTTTTACCAATTAAGTCCATCCGGCCAATTTAGGCCGAAAATTGCTGGCATAGAAGCTGGGCATCTTACGTGGTATAGATGGCGCTGACGTGGAATTTTTTTTTATAATTTGTTAATAATTTTTTTTATTTGTTATAATTTTTCTTCTTTTTTTTTCCTCTTTTTCTCTTTCCCTTTTCTTTTTGCCAGTGGCCGGTCGTCAACCACAGGCCATGACCGGCAAAGGTCGCCCTTGCTCGCCACAGGCAATGGTCAGCCTCACTTGGCCAAGGCTGCCCTGGCCTAGGCGAGGTTCAGCCTCGCCAGATCTAGCAAGGAGAGCCCTCACCGGTGACCAGCCACCGGCAAAAGGAAAAGGAAAATAAAAGAAAGGAAAAAAAAGAAGAAAAATTATTTTAAAAATCCCATGTCAATTATGCCACGTAGGACGGCCAACGTCCACTTCAGCAATTTCTATCTAATTTAGTCGGATGAACTCAATTGGCACAACGCGAAAAGATTTAGGACTAAATTGATCCAATTGAAAGGTTTAGGACCAAACTGGTACTAAATAGGACTTTTTTGCTACTTTTCTCGAATACTCATCCGCATTCTCCTTGAGGGAAAAGAAGAAAAGGAGTAACTACAATTACTTGGAAACTTATAAGCAGCTTTATAAACTTGTGTGACTTATATTAAATTTAATAATGTCTAGATAGGAAAGGAAAATTTAATTTGTGGGTGGCTTCCGCTTTCGATTTCTCATGCCATGCGATCGTATCATTCACTCCCCCTTCGTTGCAACCAACCCCAACCATGCTTTGACTTTGTCTCCCCACGCCACGTGTTTCGATTTAGCCACTGCCACTTTTCCAATTGCCTTCACCAGAATAATTTAATGAAAAATTTCCAAAAATTTGTTCTGCCTCCTCCATAGCTCCATCGCATACTTTCAACTACATAATTGGAAATTAGTGGGAAAATTTACTAATTAACCTCCATGATTGGATGCAAAAATTGAGAGATTTCTTAATTAGCTTTGCTGTGCGATCAACATCGCATTAACAATTGCTAGGGAAACAACCGGGCCACTATCATTTCCCTAGATCATGCATTGGTATACCTAACCATTTTTATTTCCCTAAGTTGCTATTAATGCTGTATTATTTATGTGGACACAACACAAGCTGTGATTACCGGAAGTGGATCAAAAGTATCCGACCCACTTAGCTTGCGTATTGACCTTACTTTCGTTTTTGGATCCGACGGGTCGAATCTATTTGGATTTGCTATCGGCGATCAGAAGTCGAGACATATGGTAGGATATGTACATTAATAACATGATTATAATTGACTAAAATGGTGATTAAGCTTGGTTTTTCACATAGGCTGAGTCAATAATCATAGGAGGCAAGAGAAAGATATTGAAAAAGCTATAGGGGCTCTCATGCAATGTCCGTGATTTCATCGTCCCCACTTGCCTCATTTGTGCTTTAATGCTTGGCAGTTGATTAAGGAGTTTCTTTTTGGAGAAATTAAATAATTTACATGCAAATCAAGAAGACAGGATATAATTATTCATATAGTAGCAAAGTTTAACATAGCATTCGGAAAAATAAGTTTTTATTATGGTGAAATGAAATGTGAAGATATTAGACAGAGCAGATCCACAGGATGAGACAATCCATATGAGGTGAAACTAAGCAATCAGACACTCATCTCTATCTCTGCTTTTATTGTGTAGTAATTTGTTTTCATAATTTGTCTTTAACTATTTCCTGTAAATGGCTTTTCAATAATTGGGAATTTTCAGATGAAAAAAATATTATCTCCTTCATTGAGGGGGTTCTTATTTAAATTACCTTGAACCTTCTGAATCTCTAATAAGGTCAAAACTTACCTACAAGTTTCTGATGAACAGCTAAAGGAACAAAATCAAAAGGATGTATCACAGTCATATGATGCTTAGTAATCTGTTGACCTCAAATTAATACCGTGATTGATAGCTCGTGAAACTCGTTTATCGAAAACGATGATCAGATTATTAATCAGGTCGATTGATGAAAATTCAGATTGGCAAAGTTGTATTAGTTGTAGTGTACAAATTTCAAGATCTAACAACCAAATAATAAAAGAGCCATAACATGGGATATGATAATAGCATTTGTCATGATAGTGGCAAGGAAAGCTGATCATTTCAAGTTGTGTAGAAGACAAGTACCACACTCCTTTATTCTTTCAAGTCCAATTGTGGGCTACAACCAATTATTGAACAAGATTAAAGCTTGCAAAAAAGAAGAGGGATTTCAGACGTTTGTCTGTACTAACACCTTCATCCATCTGAGAATTTTCATGGCCAATTCGCAAAAAAAGTACCAGAACTTTTACCATTAGTGAAAAAATAATACAAACTTTAGAACCTCTTACAAAAAAATGCACAACATAATCATTGTTACAAATTTAACACAAAATATCTCCAAAAAAAAAAAAAGAGAGAACACATAGCCTTTTACAAATGTTGCAAATTTGGCATCCATTAATATTTCATCCATTTTCACCGTCATCTCGTCCACATGTTAATCATGAACCGACACCATTTTAATATATACAAGTTTTACCGCACAATTAACAAAACGATGTTATTTTTCAATAATAAAATTTGGTATGATTACGAACCCCGAATATCAGACGTGAACACGAATTGTCAGCCCTACTTTTATCGGTGTCCAATATAGATAATAACTTTAACTCGCAGCAATCCCAACACTAACCCACAACGCCCCCAAACTCTCCCTAGGCTCCGATTTCCTGTCTTCTTTAGCCCTATTGTCAAATTAATCTCGCCGGCTAGATAGAGTTGCTCGGTGTGGTCTTGAGGGGTCGCGTTGTTAACGTGCACGTCATCACAGCAACGATCATGTTACTAAACACGCGAAAGAGACATCGGCGAGAATATACAGAATATTAACCGGCGTCAAATTCGTAACATAGGCGAAAGGTTGTGTATTTTTCCCAAAGACATTTACAAAATTGGTGTTAAATTTACAAATAATGATACAAGGGTTGTGTGTATTTTTCCGGAGACGGTGTTAATTTTGTGATAATGTCTGAAGGTTAGTGTATACCTCCTTGCTAAATTGGCCGAAATTTGATGGACACCCAAATGAAAAGAAAGGCATGAAAAAGGCTTCAGTACCCCCCAAACGGGGCAAGGTTTGCATGTCACTTCCTTGTCCCTCGTTCCAATTTCCATGATCAGTTATTTTCGTTTCCTTTATCCTTGCCTAATTGCCAGATTAGCTGCTCCCCCTTTTTTGCTTTTTCATTAATCTTTTTTGTGGCACACGACATTTTGCTTTTTCGAACATAATTTTATAAAACCCAAGAAAAATTTAACAAATGTGTGTGTGTCCTTTTTGGTGGAGGAATGCTTGTCACCTACTCATTTTTCAGTTCCCAAATCTCTCCACCATCTCAGAGAGGGAGAGGGAGAGAGGGAGAGAGAGGGACAGAGATCAGTAGTTCAACACCCGAGCTTCGTACAGTTTTGATCTTGGCTTCGTTTTCCAGTTCCATGGAGAGACCCAGATGCAAGCTCTGCTTCAGAACCTTCGCCAATGGCCGAGCACTGGGTGGCCACATGAAGGCCCATCTGGCCAGCCTCAAGATTCACCGACCCCACGTCGTCGAGTCGATCACCTCGTCTCCTGCCTCTTCCTCCGGGGAAGAGGAGCAAGAGTCGTCGCGTGGGGATCAGGAGATCGAAGAGAAGTCCCTGATTTACGGACTGAGGGAGAACCCCAGGAGGAGCTTCAAGTGTGCAGATCCCGAGTTCTCGTTCTCGGGCGGTTCCGGGTTCGTCGTCGTGCAGGACCGGGAGAGCGAGACCGAGTCGAGGAACCCAACTCGGAGGCGATCCAAGAGGACCCCAAGAAAGCTGGGCAGCTGCAACGACAATGCAGAGGATGAGAAGCAGGGGAAGCCGAAGCCGAAGCCGAAGCCGAGCCAGCCGGGCTCGCCGGCTGAGCCGGAGCCAGTGAGCTCGGTGTCGGACACCTCGCCTGAAGAAGATGTCGCCATGTGCCTCATGATGCTCTCGCGGGACAGGTGGAGAAGAAAACGTCACCACGACGAAGATGGAGATGATGATCATCATGAAGAAGTTCAGGAGGGCCAAAAAGGTAATCTGTTGGGGAACGAAGCTGAGAGGAAGCACCACCAGTGCGAGGTGTGCAAGAAAGTGTTCAGATCTTCGCAGGCATTGGGTGGGCACAGAGTGATTCACAGGAAGGCTGCTGGGTCAATGGGTTGTGAGAAGAAGAGGCAAGAAGATGAGAGAGCGAGGCGTGATGGTCCGAGCAAGGACATGGCTATGGCGCGCAAGAAAGAGAGGGTCTATGAGTGCCCATTTTGCGGGAGAGTGTTTGGGAATGGACAGGCTCTCGGTGGGCACAAGAGATCTCACTTGATGGGATTAGGAGGATCAAGTGTCGGTGGTAATGGTGATGGTGCTCAGAGCTCCAAGTCTAAAGTCTCAGCCAATTCGATAGATCTCAACCTGCCCGCTCCGGTGGAGGAGGACGACTTCAGTGTGGTGTCTGATGATGGAGAATTCACCCAAACCATCAAGAATTGAAAAACACGCGCAGAGAGAGAGAGAGAGAGACAGAGACAGAGACAGAGAGATCGGAGAAGAATTTTTTTATTTTTTTTATCATTGGTTTTGCTAGGTGACTGACACTCCATTTCCTTTGATCTTTGCCCATTGGTCATGGTTAGGAAGAAAAGTTCTTTGCTTGCTCTTCTGGTGATACATTAGAACTTAGGAGTAATGATCAGGTGCTTTTTTAGTTCTCGAGTTGCGTCTTCTTGCAACGAAGTTCATTCACTTCGACTGCAAATGGCTTCTTGATATTCTTCACCTCTTAGACAGCAGTTAATTCTCTGTGGAAAATGCTAACAAACTGTTGCTCGTTTCGCTGAGAGGCTGAGAGGGACCTCATCATCAGAAAAGTAACAGTACGATCAAGTTTCTTTTATCTCCTCTCTCTCTCTCTCTCTCTCTCTCTCTGTTTTTTTTCTTTTTGGTTGGCTTTTTGCTTTTTGTTAGGCGCAATTTTGCTGACAATGTAAGTACATTTGGGGATTGCTTGTGGACCAGGACATGGTGGTCTCTGCTCTGGAAATGCGCAGTGTTGCTCTGCCTCTGTTACCAATCGCCTGCAATTCTTGTTTTAGTGCACCTCTTCAATGAAACTTTTTCCATCATTCAGTACTCATACAATTCTTGGTATCTCATTGCATCAATTTAGTTGGAAATAACTTAGAACTCGACTCGTCTCTCTCCGTTTCGCTCTTTTCCTTTTGTCCACCGTCTAAGCTAATGTTGCTAAAGCGTGAAGCATGGAATCAATCATTTGAGCATGAACCACAAGAAGCTCCAAACTGGAATTACACAAATAACCCCCATCTCCACAGGAAGGTTTTTTTTGAAAAACAGAACGGTTAACATCTTCCACTGCGAATGAGAATGACAGAAATATGCAGAGTCCCTCCAATTTCTGAACTGGAAGATCCACTAAACCAGCGCTGTTTGCCTCGGAGAGAACGAAGCATTGTAAGCTGGCAGGGACAGAGAGAGCTGTCACAGTAAATATTCCCATGGAAACATCAGTCAGGGCTTATATTAATCTGATTCCCCCAGAAAAAAAGAAACAAAGAATGAGGCAAGTCACTGCACAGTACTGCTTTGGTTCTGGGGACACTTTCGTCCATCTCATGTTGGTGTGTGGGTATTCTTTTTCCCTTTTGCATGTGATGAATCTTGCTTCCTAAGGGATGCTCCATCCTCAGATAATATGCTGTCTCTCCTGTTTTTTCACTTTACATAAAGATTGGGGGATTTGAGAGAGATAATCACTGAGTTAAAGCGAAAAGACAAAGCCAAGGGCTTGGTTAGGTCCTCGATGATCAGATGGATTGGCCCGAAAGAAACAAAAAGATGTCATTTTTAAGCGCTCTTTTAAGTTTTTCCCGACACTATCGTCCGTTTTGCCATCACATATTCCCAAGGATCTCTCTTTGGAACCTTCAAAAGGCCAAAGGGTTCATGAAAAGGAAAAGAGATTACACATGGTTTTGGAGTATCTATCAGCATATTGATAAATTTGCCAGTCAATGGCCAAACCAGAGCCTCTTCCTGCAGAAAATAACACTTGGGTACAATAGCTTAGGGCTGATGAAGCGTCCATACATGATGACTCGGTGCTTCCTAACCGGTACACGAGGTTATACTAGAATTATTTCCCCCGGTACACGCTCAAGGATCAGTTTACTATCCCGCATAAAGTTACTGTTCACGCGGACGTGTCGTGCCAAAGAGAGATGAGTACTAGACATTGCGATGGTGTTTATCTTCTAGATGATCGGTGTCCTCCCTTGTTCCCTTCTCAACCGATCGGCGCGATCAAGAATATCATGACTCGACTCACTTTATCATCCGATCGAAACCCCCTGTCATCCTTCCGCGATCGAGATTTACTCGGATGACTTGGCCTTACGCGATTCAGCTTTGTTTCGTAAAAGGAATTAATGAAAATTTGAGGGGACTGGCCTTTTGCTGTTGTCCATTCTTTTGAAACTGTCGAGCGAGCGAGTTCAGGGAACGAGGGGGTTGTTCTCGAGAATAGGAAAGGAACGGGTCAAATGTGTGCTTTGCATTCCCTCTGCCGATCAAGGACAAGGAGGAAGGGGGGGCAGGAATGGAATTTGAGAAATTGTGGGGGGGGAGGATTCAGTCAGCGTGACTGGAGGCACCCTTCACGAGAAGGCAACCGGGACTTTGTTGGCAAAATGACCGGGAATTTTGGTCAACCCCCCCTCCTCCTCCCATCCTTTCTCGGAGCAGCCGGTGGCCCAGCCCCACCTCTCTTCCCTCTCACCTCACCGCAACACCATCGAATTCCCAGACGATTTCGGCCGTTGATTTCTCAACACAATCAAATTTTCCGCGAAATAATCGAGCTATTTTAAAAAAAAAATTTATTATTCACCCTCTTAGTGCCATTGAAAATATTAGGGATAACTACCCAAAAAAAAAAGTCATAAACCGATTGTAAAAATGCCAATTCAGTGAAGAGTTTTTCAATTTATCCAATTTAGTCGTGAACATTTTGACGATTCTGCCAATTGTGACCGGAAATTGCTAATGCGGTGGTCCAATCTGCCATCCATCCTATGTGGCTATGTGGCATGGTCAACGCTGACGTGGATAATTTTTGTAATTTTTTCTTTTTTCCATATTTCCCTTCACTAGTCGCCGCGCCTCGACGATGGTTGGTGACCTCCATCGGCCAGGGGCAAGGGCTGACCTTTAGCGAGGGTTGGCCTCGCCAAATTTGGCAAGGGCGACACTTGCTAGACCCTCGCCACCTTTGCACCGTCACTGGTGCCGCCCCTCGCCTATTGTCGGCGGCCAGCGAAATAAAATAGAATAAAAAAAGATAAAGGAAAGGAAAGAAAAGAAAAAAAAAGAAAATAATTTAGAATTTTTTTTTAAAATTATAAAAATCGTGAACGTCAGTGCTGATCGTGTCACGTAGGATGGTCAACGTCCGAGTCAGTGATTTTCAGCCAAAATTGACCGGAAGGACTACATTGATAAATCGTTAAATTAGTTTAGAATCAAATTTGCCAAGTTGAAAAGTTTTTGAACGAAATTGATATCCGTACAACACATTATGATTATTTTAGTAATTTTCTCAATAATATTATTGTATGTTTCTTTACTTATTTTTTTTTGCACATATATAGTTCAACTTGACATTAGCCCCACATACTAGACTTAAAAGTTGGAACTTATAAAAGTCTAGGACAAATCAAGGGCATGATCATTTCCCAAAGTGTATGATTGGATCAAATGCTTGATCACATGAGATTTATAGCTTTTAAATCATCTAATTTATTTATAGTTGTATTCGTTTTGATTCTAGAAAAACTTCACAGAGTTGGGAGCAAAAGTTAAGGGTCATAATTCACTTTAAATGAAGAACTTTTAAAGTGTGAGTGGCTAAATATATGTATGAGGAAAGAACAAATGCCGTATAATGAACGAAAATTTTTTTCATCGTCTACGCACATGTTTATACACAAATTGTTGTCGGTAATGAAAATATTTTCCATTGACTAATCATTTCGAGTGACACACACGATTATTTTTAAGAAAATATTTTTTAAATCACTCATTTCCCGCGACACAAATCAACTCTAAATGTCATTTCATTTTCCGAGCACTAATTTAATTAGCCTCCTCGATTTCATGTGCGTGGGGAGATACCTTTGGGTACAAGCAAATCCAACCTCCATTAGCCGAAGGAGGCAAACCCTAATCCTCGTGTCACGGGCAATGAATGTTTGCCATGCTCAACGCTTTAAGTATTAATATTAGCTTTGCGTGACAACTGTTGGCACGTAGAGAAAGATGCATGCACTACTAACATTAACAAATATGTCCCCACGGATCTGTTCTTTCCGCTCTTTTTTGGCCCTCTTTTGGGGGACTTTTCTGAGACAATTAAGAAATTATGTGCCGGGATTAATGGCGGAAAGGGAAGCGTGTGTATTCAGATCTGTTTGAACGCCGATGCTTGCTCTCGAACCACCAGCTTTCTTGAACTTAATCAAAGAGGGTCATTCCAAATCGATAATGGCTCACTAAATCAACACTGATGCGACAAGATCTTCATCATCTGGATCTGCTTTTTTGGATCTTCTCCGGTTAGAAGAAGAGATCTTAACAAAAATAAGTGACGGTGACTGATGATCAGTATCCGAGAAGCCTCGATGAGTTTGGAATTCTCATCGACTTATAGGTAAAATCAAGTGAGATATGTGCCGGCAATGCCGAAAATCATGAGACTTGTATGTTTTTGTCATTTCGACTCAATATGAGTCTAACGGATTAATGTAGTGCTCAATATTTCCTTTGACTCTATTTCCTCATGAAAAGAAATTATCGACAGGTGATTACCCATTTTCTTGCCATTTCTCAAGCTTATTAATTGAATTCATATGGCATTGTTTTCTTCATTTGATCTGCAAAAGGATAGCGTTTAGACAGATAATTGTACTAAAGAATAATGTTAAGTTAACCTTAAGCTTTTCAAAGCTGCACGAAAATGCACGGACGCATAGTTAGTTGCACAATTAGACCTTTCTAGGGTTTGGCTTGAATTATAGAGAGGTTTGGCCCCGCAATTGATCGCGAGAAGAATCACTATCTCTGTTCATCAATTAATTAGCTAGTTAATGTAATTGTTGTTCTTTCCAAAATTCAAACAGAAAATGGTAAAGAGATTCATATCGTGCTTTTTTTTTTTGATCGAAAAAAGATGATAATATCGATAGTAAGAGTTTTTAAACAAAAAACCCGTCGAAAGGGCATCCAAACAAAGCAAATCACAAAGGGATTGAAAGGGCGGGTTACCCAAAAAGATGGAAGGGAATTCATTTTAAGGATCTTAGCTACCCAATTCATATCGTGTTGAATGTAAGACATTTAAGATGCACTTTTGGAGTATCTTGTAATACTCCTCAAAAAAGAATAATCAAAAGCAACAATTATTTTTAACTTTAGTT